CACACACACACACACACACACACACACACACACACCTCACTCTCTCTTACGCACGCGCGCGCGGACCATGTCTCACATAGATGCTCTGGTTTTATGGGGCAGCGGCAGCATCCGCGATGCCGGCGCTCTATGTCGGCTTTTACGGTGGCGTGTAAATAAATAGTTGATGGAATGAGTGGTAAACATACACAAACGATGTCGTTCTCCTGAATCGAAGGGCGGTCCGCGGCTGAGCGGGCTGGGCTGGGCTGGGCGGGCGGGGCGGGCTGGGCAGCAGGGCGACACTCCGCGAGGACAAACCTGCTGTTACGAGGCCCGAACGACAATTAACGGCGGTCAAATGGAGCCATCCCATGTCTGATGTGCGCCGCGCGCGCCCGCGCACCCTACACGGCACTTGGCCGCTCAAGACGAAAAAAGGCGTACACAGGAAAACTGCGTGCCTATCCGTCATTTGAGAACGTTCAGGTTTTCCTATACGTACAGTTCTGTCCATAAAACAGCACAGTTTTAAATCAGTTAACTGGTGAAACAAGTGTGCATAATTTGAACACCAACGTGTTTAAGTTATGATTTTAAATACCTGGTGTTCAGGTGTGCACATTTCAAACGTTTTGTAAACGTTTAGATTCTGCACACTTGGACACACTCAAATCTGTAGGAACCATATGGCGTGCAGCTGCTATACTTTTCGGAAGTGTTTATAGTTCAAACACCAATTGACGTTTAACCTAGTTAAACACCACAATGTGTTAAGAAAATGCACACTTGAACATAAACACCAATTGGCGTTTAACATTAAACACTTGTTTTACCTGTGAAAGTAACGTGTGTGGAAAATTGAGCTACACCCCTAACGGTTAACAGGAATCACTCTAAGAAAAATTACAGATTTTTGTATCAAATTTGATATAATTTTCTGTATCTGAGCACTGTGATACAGCAATATGTATCGGTGATACAAAATCTTACAATAGTTTATAGAAATTTGTAAACATTACAAAATTTTTAATTAATTTCAGAATTTTACATTCATTTTATAATTTTCTGTAATCTGATTACAAATTTCTGGAAACGGGATACAAATTTCTGTAACATGGAAACAGAAATTAGTACGTGCGTTCAAAACTTTCCCGTTTTAACGCTGAATTTGAACACAATTTGAGTAGCTGTTCGACTGATTCTGGCACCCTACGATAAAATCAATTTCCTAAGCATTCACATAAAAATCCCATCTGATAGCCCGATAGCTAAGGGAAAGTCTCAGGGGCCAGCCAATACATAGGGAAGAGTGACACCGGGTCAGAGCACGGCTTGTCGCAGGTAGTCGCCTTAGCCGCGTGAGCTAAGGCATCGAATCCCAACCCAGAGGTTCGGGGTTCAAATCCCGGTTAGGTAAGGGTACAACTTTGAAATTAATTGGCTGTCATGTGTGGGCAATATCTAGAATGAGACAACCAGCAGAAAAAAAAGATTTTTCTTTCATATCAGAGCATTTTTTTTCTGTATCTGTATCGATGGATACAAATTTCTGTATCCGTATTACAGATTTGTTATTGTATCCGAAAGAATTCAATTTTTTGTATCACGGATGCTGAAAAAACTGCATATCCAAATTACAGATTTTTGTATTAATTTTTTTTAGAGTGAAATAAAAACAGTCATTTAAATTTTAAAGGGCAGGCCGGTGGAGATATAATGTTTATTGTGAAAAATCACTTAAACAGTACAGTTGACCTCCCACGGATCCCCAAAATGTCTTAATGCAGTGATGAGTTTGTGTTTTAATCGTTCCTACCTGGCTGATATTTGCCCTGGGCAGGTAATTAGGCGCCTCAAAATAGGAATAGACACGAATTATACAATCCAGTTCTGGATTGGTTCGTCGGCGCGGCGGGTCTTTTAAACGATTGCCGCTCGGGCTCTACTCCCTGCTTTGGGCGCGCGGCTCTGCGGGTCGCATCGCAGGGGTCGAGGCGGGGGCACGTCCGGATCACCCCGTTACAAATTCAAATCCAATTGCGAGGCGCTGCGCCCGCGCCGTGCGGTCCCCACGGAGAACGCGCCCGCCGCCCGGCCTCTCCACCCCTTCATACACTGACTTGTCTTCATTGCGAATCCGTCAAGTCTGGCCACGCCCCGGTAATGGAGCCACCAGGCCAGGCTGCGGGGCCCCCCCGCCTGGCCCCGCCAGGTCCCACGGGGGCGCACCAGCACTCATTTAGGACTTCTGCGCCACGCTGTGCCACCCCTAGCGCGCGGGACTTCCCCAGCCAAGGTAAGTCAGGTGCAAAATAACTTGTGTTCTATGTAACGGAGGCGCTGCTCTGGATACCCGGAAAGTGGTGTGTAAGGGGTTTTATCATGGACCCCAAGTGTCTGTACCTTTCCCCGTCTTGTTGCAGTGAGCTGCTTCCGCTTTGGGACTTTCACCCCCGGGCCGGGCAGCAGCAGAACGAAACGATTTCGCCCCAAACCAATAGGGTGCGCTTGGCGCCACCGCGCCGCGCCCCCCGGCCGTGCTTGCCCCCTCTGCGCTGCTCTGCTCACCTTGGTGAAGCCATCAGCTCCGCCGTGTTGACTTTTCATCACGAAATGAGTTTCGCCCCTTCTCTCTTCCCTTGTCCAAACAAAGGTGTGACGCAGTCCCCACACGCCCAATCACTACTCCACTTTGAGTGCCACTGATCCTCGCCGTATCACAGAGCGACACCGCGGCGGAATTGGCGAGCGCGTTCGAAATCCGTCCCGGTGTTCCCGCTGCTGCTCCAAGGATTTTAATAGAAATTAAAGTCTGTTTTTTGGGGAAGACCCATACGCTTTTGTAGCGGTGGTTGTGTGTTATCAGGAACGGCCCGTCCGTCACGAGGAATGTTAAATGGCGAGGCGTGGCGCGCGGGGCGGGCAGCGGCCGAGGGGCGGTTGACACGCCCAGCCGTGAGTTATGATGCCGCTTGCTTATGTTTACAGGCCGGCCGCGCCGTGCCACGCCTATTGATACCCGACCCTGTTTGCATAAGAGTTTGCCACGGTCGGTCTGGTGCCCTTGCCGCACACCAAGGGGAGGGACCTATACCGGGCAAACAAACGCACGCTCGCGCCGCTGCTGCTGCCCGCACTGTCGATAGGTAGGTGTAGGGTACCCTTGTCGACCCGTCGAGAATCGGACGGAGCTGGTCAGACGGGACAGGGTGCGGTTTTTGTTTTATATTACTGTAGTGTTCTTCCAGAAAGGGCTTTTTAAAGTTAGTACTTCTGGGTCGAGGAAAGTGCGAAAGGGCTTTAGGGGGCCAGGCTGCTAGGGCATAGATTGCTTTGCACCCTAAAACGCAGGTACTTGAAGTCAAGTTCACTTTCTTAAAACAACTGCATGCACTAGAGTACCGGGTGTAACTGAGAATGCGCAACAGTGTTGCGGGATTGCATACCCGCCAGGGCTGCAGGGGCCATGGCGCCTTACGGACTAACTGGGTAGGCAAACCCGCAACACTGTTGCGCATTCTCAGTTACACTCGGTACACAACACAAGTGCATGTATTTGTTTCAAGAAAATGCACTAGATTGCAAGTACGTATTTCAGGGGGTGAAGATATGGCTATAGGCTCTGAAAGAGCTAAAAAGGCCCAACTCGCGCTATGTGAGGTGACTGCTGCTGCAACTCTCAGGTGGCTGAGTCGATGACAGTCTAGGGGCGGGGCCTCGCGGGCCCACCCGCGGGGCGGCTGGGGGCGGCGAGCTGCTTGGGGTGGGGGCGGGGCCGGGCGGGCCCGCTGGTTGGCGATGCGCGGCCGGGGGTGGGCGCCGGGCGCGGGCGGGTGAGCCGAGCCGCGTCCCTCGCCGCCCTCTCGCTGGCGAAACGCAATTTGAATGTGTTGAGGCGCTTGCTCTTAACTTTGGGATCACGTTTGGGGGCCTCCTTGTCGTTAGGATGAATAACATCATTAGGGCAGGGCGCTGCCGGGCGGGGCGTGCCTAGGCTAGGCAAGTTGGATTAGATTGATACGCTGCCTGTTGGAGTTAGCGCCGCCAATTGAGTTGGCAGCACTTCATTTGGTTGGCCTGGCGTTTAGCTGAACTGCTGCCGATCCTCCAACCCAGCTGCTGACGGCGCCGCACCTCAGCACGTCGCTGTGCAAATGTGCGTTCAGAATGGGAAGGACTGGACTTGAATAGATAACGAGGTAGTTTTGTTTAAATATATTTTTTTAATATGTCAGAAGGTAACTTATGAGATACAAAACAGAACAGCAAAAGGAAAGGACATTATTTACAAAAGGCTTC